TCCTCTGGAGTTTATTCCACCATCAACTCCATCTTCGGGCTTATCATTAAACACAGCACATCGCCTTTTACTAAAGAAACCATCATCGCAATACCACACGAGCATGCTGTAAAGGGAGACCCGGCGACAGCCGCGATGGAATCTGACAGAAAAAGAAAGAGAACAACGCCACTGTGTCCCCAGCGATTCAAGAAGTCAACTACTATCGCGGCGCGCGTACTTCACCGACTAGTTCCGAAGCTGAGATAGTATGACTACGAAACACGGCCAATGCGTTTCGAGCAATTTGAGCTGTACGAATGATAATACGTAATCACTTGGCTTCCCATATAAAACGCGTTTTTTTCTACAATTCTTTCAGAATGCACGAGAATTAAAAAGAAATCAGAAATTAACTTACAGCATCAAGTAGTGAGTAAATACAACTGCAAGAATTCTTAGAATATTAATATTAATAATATATGATGTACCACAATGGGGTGCTATTTTACATTTAATTCATTGTATACAGCATAATAATGGAATTAGAGATTTTTATTGTGAAATGCTCCTTTTATTTACGGTGCAGACTCGCTACGCGGGTTCGGACTTAAAAAGAATGATTTCCCAAGGGGAGAAGCGGCCAAGAGTTTCTCACAAAGCACGCTTCCAAAATAAGAAATAAAAACGTGCAGAGGCGCTGAAACTCAAGATGGCGTCCACTATTCTGCGAAACAACATCGGAGGAAGCCATCAGTTTCCAGGACTAAGATTTCGTCAGGGTTAATGTAGAAGTCACTAATGTTAAATAATTTTAAAACCACAATGTACAATCATAATGATATGTAACTGACGCTCCCTTGCACTTTTTACAACATATTCTATCGATTAGCAGTATAAGAAAGGAGTATTTGACGTGATAGTTATGCATACGTATAATATGACAATTCGTTGTACAACTTCTCATATTTCTGTAATTTTATAAACAATATACGAAATTGCATTCATATCAAAAGAAACACACAGGTTTACCCACAACGCGACGGAGACGGAACAGAATATCCATGCTGTGTCGTGGGTGTTTCTACACTTTACTGTCCTAAATAAAATATCCTCAACGCTTACTTGATATACACTTATGTTCAATCACCGTTACGACACGGACCCGCGAGCGGAATGGCTTCGTATTTATATCTTCAAATTTGTAAGGCGAGTTGGCGCTTCTTTATACGATTTCATGACGAAGCTCCGAGCTTCTCGACTAGCAACAAACGTCCTTGAGACTATTCAATGCGTACTTTCCATCAATGTTTGCCGAACACTTATACGCCATACTTATTGCTTCGCTATGCGTGTTGAAGTTCATAATGAAGCTGCGTCCTTCAACCTTCGCAATTAACATAAAGCATCTTCGGTCCTGTCCAACGCACAATTTCTCATGAATTTTACGCGAAGACACATTTGTAATTAATTAAAAGCGGGGATTCTCATTTCGTAATTACGCAAAGACCGAAAATAATTTGAAATCGACGACTGAGCAAACGTTTTCATCGGCAACCTGTTGAAGGTATTTCAGTTTGAACAGTGACAGAATAAAAATAACGACGTGCGGTTTGTATTTTGTTCCGTTCTGATTGCGTTATGTGTACAAGTTTCGCTCATTGGCCGAATTCGGTGTTTCAGTGCGACATATATACTCGGTATACCCCCGCCCCCGCATGATTTGCTTATGTAGTCGCTTGCGCGGGACACACGACTTCCGGCTCTGTCCGCAAGGGCCTTTGTGCACCCGCGCACGTGGCACGGCCAGCGCAATCGGCGTTCGATTTCGGATTTCAGGGGCTTCCCGACGCGGCGCGGGGCGACGCGTGGGACAAGCACTCTGCGCGCCGCGCGACACCACACGCGCCATCGCCGGAGCCGCGAGCGCTGAAGCCCGCGCGCGCTTCGCCTGGGCGCCGCGCTCCGGAGCCGGGCCCAACCGCGCTCGCGGGCGGCGTTACCCAGCCAGGCTTCTGGGACAATGCCGCTGCCAGGCAAACACGCGATGCCCAATTATTCCACCATAAAATACTCAGAATTGCCCGTACCTTGGTTTGTAAAAACTCCCTACACTGACTTAAAAATTCCCTTCATCCAGAAGCAAACACACTACGTATCTTGTGACTTATCTTTTATATTTAAAAGATCCCCGGCATCTTGCATTTACAAGGCGTCATAAACCTCCAATCCTGAGACTTAGAAACCATCAATCAATACACCTTTCTCAAACACCATGTCAAGATTTCTTAAATCTCTCAATCACTTGCTGGTGCTTGATTGCTTTTACTCCATCGATACAAAACTGTGATATTATTTAGCCTGTGTCTGTTAAAGTATATTCTATAAGTTTTCGAACAAATATTTGAAAGGCCAAAGGCTGAACGTTGTAAAATCAGTCTTGCAATGAAGACTTTTTTCTATTAAAAATTAGTTTGTATTACAACTCGTAATACCTGTCATAATTAGTAACTTTTGCAATTTTCCAAAATTCTCAAAGTTCAACGAAAACGAGACTTGCACCATTTTTTACGCGCACTTCGCTCTATCCGGGGGAAAAAATTAAAGAAAAAAATGTTTGAGAATTATTTCACAGATTGAATTTACTCAAGCCAAAATAACGCGAAAACTACTTTTTCCCCAATAAACATCCTCCACTCTACTATGACTTTATTTAAAGACATATCTCTTAACAATATTTCTTTTTTATTTAAAAACATCTCTAACATCACTTTTCTACTTTTCAACGTTTACTTTTTGTAATTTTTAAAAATACAGAGATTTAAACGAAAATTGGACATACGCCATTTTTAGGCATCCTTTGCTTAACTATATCCAAGGATATAATTTTTTTAAACATTAGAACAGTTTTTAATAAAAACGTTTGAATATCGCTTACATTTTATAAAGTACGCGAGAACTACTGCAAAAATTCGATATTTTGAAAAATTATACATGACCTTATTTAGAGTGTGTCTTTGAAGTACAGATTGCAATAATGTAAATCTTCAATATAGTAGTTGCAGCAAGACGGCGGAAAAAAAATCAAATTTTGCAATATTTTAAAATTCAGAGTTCATCAAAAATGAGACATACGATATTTTGTATCCACCTTTTATTCCAAGGATAAAAATTAATTTTAAAAAATGGGAGCCATCTTTTAAAAAATTGAATATGCTAAGGCTCCATGTAAAGCACCCCATCAATCGATATGTGCGTTGCTAATTCGCAGTGCCTCGAGTTTGGCCAGAGCGATCGGGGAATATCAATGTTGGAGAAGATTATCAAAACGATGTAGACCCTACCGTTGATCACAGACGGGCAGACGGAAGGACGCACAGAGAGACAAGTGGACTAACACGTGGACGGAGAGACAGAATTTTTGCCGTCAACCAATTTTACGGAATCATGGACCTGTGGCTTCAATATTGTAACGTATTAGCCAGCGTGCCTCATGGCATCTATTTGGGAACGCTTGGTTGCGGATTAGTCTCGCCACAGGAAGAAGGGTTTTTCCGTAAAGGGAAGAACGCGGAGACGGGAGACACAAGGCTTTGGGTGTCTTCCGGCTTATAGAAGCTTTTCACTGTTATAACAAGCGAGGGGGTGGCGTGACGTAGGAGGTCACGTGGGCCTCGCCTATATAACAGAGTGTACGGAGCCAGTAGGCAGGTTCTGGAGACGGTGGGAGAACCTCGTGCGTGTGCACAAAACTTGGCGCCACGACGGTGCATATGCGAGCCAGGCTCGCGAGGCTCGAGTCACTAGTTGACGAAGCCTGCGGACTTTAGGTCCTTGGGTGACTGCGGTCACTGGGGAGCGATGCTGTGTGCGTGCTCCGAGGTGAAGAGCGGTTGAGTGCCACGATTCACGCCGATTCTCAATCGGATAAGATCGCTCCTGCGATCGAGGCAAACCAGCCGTTGGTGTGCCAGAACGGACTTTGTGTCCAAGCGTGACATCCGGTCACGGAAGCTAGGCTTTGTGCGCGATTCAAAAGTAGGAGTGGCGAATGCCACAATCAAAACCATCTTCAATCGGGTTTGGATCGCTCCCGCGATCAGGGGATAGTAGGTCTATCAGAGCTAGGGTGTAAGTAGATTAAGTGTATATATTTGTTTTGTTTTCTTGTTAATAAATATATTTGTTATACGAAAGCTCTGTGTCTGTGGTCGCTGTGAGTATCCATGACGTCACAATATGTAGGTAAATGGGTTAAGCACATAACTTGATATCCCAAGTACAGTTGAATTCCAGCGTGAAAAAGCACTTTTGAGGGTTCAAGTAGTATTATTATATAACTTGGCTGTTACAAATAATTCGAGAGAGTACGTGCCTTTATAACACCGCTAGTTATTGGTTGATCTACACTCTTAGATATTTATAACGTATACCAGAAATTGAATGTCTTTCCTGAGTATTGTGGCACCGCCCGAAGGGGGGGGGGGGCTGTGAACCTTCTCTCTTGGGTGCACCACGGCTAAAGCTAATTACTAAATCATAAAAACATAAATTGTTTTCACAACCCTATTGGCGCAAAATCCTTTAAAATGCTTCACATTTTCTGACGTTCATAAAGCAATTTCTCATGGAAGTGAAGTCCAAGTGACTAGCAGAAGGAAATTTCACAAGACAACACGCGAGTAGAAAGGTTGGGTTCCGCAACTCCAACGGTGGTCCATTTCTCTTCCTACCTGATGGACGAAGTCGATCGAAGTTCTTTCTCACACCCCAAACTAATCTGTCTGATATTTTTTTATTTCTCAAGAAACTTTCCTTCCACCAATACCCATTTGGCTCGACTTTTTCGCCACTCTCTTCCACGACGAGACGAGCTTTACCTACAAATCATTTACCTCATTCCTTTTTGCGTGAGATGAACTTTTTGATGTTTCCGTGGATATGATTTCACTAAATTCCATTACAATTTAATAAGATACAAATGACATTTCCCCCTCCAGTTATGGCTATTTCGATTACGATCAAATTTCAGACATCCCATTTCTCAAAGTACACTTTATCAACAGTTGAAACACTCTACTCTGAAACAAACATAAAAGTTCAAGTTAGTATTAGTCCAGAATATGAATCTGCGAAGTGGATTTATCATGAAACACAAAAATTACGAAATTCGTAATGTTTCTAGGAGTACACACAGAATGTATATTCTTATGAAAAGGGGGACATATTCCTTCGAGAGACCCGTCACTCACGGAGACAAATTGTCGGATACGGCGGGAGGCAGGATTTTATACATAGAACGTAGAGTACAGAATATTCTTCTGATGGAAAGGAAACAGACTGCGTATTGACACTAGCATAGTCCTGCCCCCTTATTGCCAACAAGTTCTGTCCCAAAAGACTTCATCGGAGAGGACAAGAGTTCCGAAAATACTTTCAAACATTTTATAATTTGCAAACATAATCTCACAAACATTTCATGCCTTATTGTCTATTTCTATGAAAAAAGTATTTCATCTTAAAAAATGAGTTTCCATTCACACAGAAATAGAATTCTGTTTATTATTCCTCATCGTAAAGGAGAATCTTCTCAATCACTCTTAGAGAATCATTAATTTTTGACTCTAGATAAAATTCAGTTGCTATTTTGCATTAAGCTAGAATACTTTTTGGAAGCTAGAATACTTTTCTGTGTAATGTTCGTTGGTTTGGGTCATCTGTACTCGAAAAGCATTGTGTCCCGTTTGACGAGTTAATCTCATGTTACCGAGAACTGACGGAAACGGGAGTGGTGGAATGCTAAGGCTAACCATGTACTCATGTCGAGCGTGGGAAATGTGGCCTTGCCTCCTTCAAACAGTCTTTCTTTTGAATTGGTTTTGGACGCTACAATTAAACATGAACCATTTCCTCCCAACAAAAATACATATAAAAAGCAACAGTTTATTTCGACATTTCGCTAATACCTGTCATATTATGAGAAATATAACTATAATAACAATAATAATAATAACAATAATAATAATAATAATTTGAACAATGAAAACACCCATTTAAAATAATTATTATTATTATTATTATTATTATTATTATTATTATTATTAATCGTCATCATCATCATTAGTTTTACAAGTCCTCTTGGTGCTCGATTATACTATACACATGAATAAAATCACCAATTATAGATGTATTTCTTTACATAATCACGATCTTATTTCTTACTTCTGGCGATTCTAGCTGTTGAGGTGATGTTCCTTCAGTATCAGTTTCCAGCTAGCAGGAAGATATGTTTGAGGGTTCCATGCCTGGTCTTCGAGATACAGAACTCAATTTTAGAGAGCAAGGACTCTTAATTTTTACATTTTTCAATTGCTGTTTGATAGTTTCGGAGGTGTCCAAATACAATTTTCCTTCAAAATCACATTGTACCATCCTTACCATCCAAATACATTTGTCTTCTTTTCGTTGTATTTAAAATGAAGTTTTGCAGTATTCGGAATCGGAACATTTATAATATCGACTTGCCTGATTTCCTTTTTTTATTAAGAATTATTTGCGACTGTGCTGCCTTTAAGATTCATTCTACCTCAGTTCAGCCGATAAGAACGATTAGGACAGGATCGTTCGAACGACAGGATCCTATTATTACTAAAAAAATTGTAACTGCCTAGACTATACAGAACACATTTTTTTCATTTATTAATGAAGTATTAGGATACTGAAGAACACCCTATCCCACGACTCGAATCAATGAAAATAAGATCGTGAAAGTTTAATAAACCAAGAAATATTAATAAAACTAACCGTTTTATACATTTGTTACAATATTTATATAATGTAACAATCAACGAAAATATCAAGGGTTGAAGACTGTCATTAATAAAAATTGAACCACACTGAATATAATTTACGTAATAAAATTACTTCTTAAATTAACACCCACCTGACCCGTTTTCAATCTATGTCTTAATTAATTCTAACAAATTTCTCGATACTTAGGTAATAATAGCAAAAACACCGTGAATTAATAATGAAGTTTTGTGTTATTAGTAAAAATCTTCAGCCAATAATTTGCCATCCAACAATACGTATTATAAAAAAGCTGAAGAAAATTATAGTAATAAATAGAGTCTGGAAGTTGAGGTATTTATTTCACTAAATTATGCAGGCAAAAAGGCATTTATGTTTGCTAAAACAGGCGTCCAAAAAAAGCATTTATTCTGGCTAATATATGGGTGTAAAAACACAGTAAACATTGAAAAATCACCATTTCAAAGGAATTATTGTAATAAAGATAAATAATTAAAATGATTCACATTTTTATTCTAACTCTGAAATTTACATGAGCACTACGACGAAGGAAACTGTCTTTTCTTTGTAACCTTGATTTTACATGACTATTAGGTACGACAATTAGGAATTTATTTTACCCGCGACGCTGTCTCTACTAAATGCTATTGTGGACTCCCTCTCGAATCATGAAATGGTATCAGTGCCAACGGAATTATAGATTTAGCCCTTATGTAATCGCCAGAAGGGAAAAAAACACAAAGGAACTACGAAAGGTACAACCTGTACAGACATCTTTGTCCTCAAAAGTGATCCGATGGCTACTCGAATGAGATTCCTCATGAGTGAACAAGTCTGTCAGCATTAAAGAAAAGTATCAAACACTTTCACTGGCATCGTCTTTCTTTCCCTTTTAGAGATTTAACACAAAATGACACTGCCCTGCTCTCTGCTTTTAACACAACCTGACCCGTTTTCACAGTGAGACAATACACGACCGTGCCTTCATGTTGTCTAGGCTTGCAGGTATGTTTCCACCTTCATAGAGATTGGTGCCAGGAGGGGCGAAAAGGAAAAATAAAGACGAAAAAGGCACAAATTAGGCAAAATACCAAACATAAGAAGCTAAAATGAGCAAAAAAGGCGAAATTAAAATCTACTAAAACTACTACTATATTTGTAGTAAATAAATAAAATTCATAGCAAAGCAAGTGAAGATATAACACGAGCGATTGAACACCAGAAAGCTCTAGTTGCGAAACGATCGCGTTCGTCTTGAACGGCGATTTCAATTTCAATTTCATTCCCAACGACGCTCGCGAGGTCAGAAGGCTCTCGTAAATAAAAAAAGTATTAAATCGTTCAATGTCGATATGAAAGAAGCCATTCTCTGGAAAGAACTTTAAATAACTGGGCGAGACAAGATAACCACCAGAGAACGTGACCGTTTTGGAATAAAAAAAATTGGCAAACTGGTACTAAAGACTTATACTGATTACTGGAAATTTAAAAGAAAAGAGATATGAGATTTTTTTAAATGTAAAGAAAACAAAAAATTGCACAATAACGGTAAAGCGTTTCGCAAAAAAGAGGTCCCTGACTTAGTGATATAACAGTAATGGGAATAAATGTTCATTTTCATTTAACACCACATGAACAGAGCCGGACTGCGCTGTGTGGTTGAGTGTGTGTAAGTGCGGGGAGCAATCCCCGCCGAAGGCCCTCCGAAGTCTTAGATGCGAAATAATTATCGCGCTGTTCGTTTTCTGCTAACTAGATTGTTTATGTTTGACAAAAATGAAGATGAAATATTAACACTGCAGTAATTTGGATTTTCAAATTTCATATTCCAAACACGCATTTATAAGCCTTTCAACAATGAATATCTGAAAGCATTAGGCAACGTAATCCCGTGAACCCGAGACTTTTTTAAAACGCTCACATATTCCATGAGGTGAAAAGCAAAGAAAACTCTTTATACACGATAGTACTGGAGTTTTGAGGGCACCCGTAGACCTCAGATACGAAGGGTCGTCAAGACTTATTAGAAGATGAATTCCAAACATTCACAAAAAGTGCGAGAGGAACAACGTCAAATATCAAGACGCCCCGCGCATTTCAACTTCTTCCCTATTTTCAATGCCGGCTTGCATCCCGAAGGCTGCGTGGACCGCGAACTCGGCTACATCAGTGCCAACCGGTACGCGAGGAAGGTCAAAGGGTAACGCGTCACACGCCCAGACACGCAACGAGCGATCGACGTACACTGCCACAGCCATATAGTACCTTTCATTCAACAAAATCACTCGCGTTTATTCATGACGACGTTCGAATGACCCGGAAGATTTCATGACCACCATCCGGATGGCTACAGTCTGAAAGCCAATCATATAGTCAATCCATTAAATTAATGGGCATAGTGTGTGGTCTTCCAATTATCCGTCACCTTCAATACGGGAATAATGTTCGAAAATCAAAAACATAACAGATCATAAATATAATAAAGTTCATTACATCACTATACGTAAGTTAAAATTTCAATATATAATATATATTTTTTAAAGTATAGATATCTTGTATAATTCACTATGCTTGCTAGTTAGCAATTTAACTAAACAAAACTATTAATTGTTATGAAATAAGAAGGAAGTTCCGCTACTGACACAAACCAGCGGAGAGGCACGGGGAAATAAGCTGAAAATGCTATATGCACTTAATACGGAGAAAAGATTTGGCCTGTGAATACAATACTATGCTATGCTATACAGAGGGTATTCAAACAAGCAGTGAGCGGTCGAAAAGGGAAAGAAATTGACATTACGCCGTACACGTAGACGTGTCCTGAATTGAAGCTTCAAGTGACAATCGTTGGAGAAGGGATAAACTACATTACTAATTTCCAATACACGCAGATATTTCAAAAAACCTATGCAGCCTCCGACCATTGAGAGATGTCTTTCGATAGATACCACCCAGAACCTCGGGGGAAATCAAAAACAATTAAACAGTTTCGATTTTGACTGAAAAATAGAAATTTTCATTGTGTTATTCTACCTACTCATACTGCGCGTACCTGCTGAATTCTTATACTCCGTGCGTCACTACTTAGGACACATCTGATGTCATGCGACAGCAAGGCTCCACGAACAGGCCGCCATTAAAAATTTATGTGTTGCGTCATAGAACAGCAACTTTGTTGATATTCCTGGGACGTAAAGAACTGTTAAATTGTAAGTATGCTATGCTTTTGCAGTATTTGTGAAGATTATTTTTATAAAAAAATTTATAATGCAGTGTTATACGAAAGTATTTTAATTCTTTGTTCTTGAGCAGTATTTATGCTCCTGTTTAGAAAACTATTTTGTGTGCTTTGGATCAGCAGCAATTTTGCTGCTGCAGGCCGCAAGTTTAAATTTACACGCGTGTTCCTATGCCAGTAGCACCTAGAGTATGCGCTGCTTGACACGATGTGCCATTAAAAGCCGCTAAAATGTTACCGCCAGCGACCGTATCTACGACTATTTCTCTCAGCGAGGATTGAAGAATGAGTGTTTCAGGGACGTTATCGCAGCGATATAAAGAAAATTGAGGCCAAACGGCGTCCTAAGGTGCCACCGCCATAACTACGTTACGGTCCCAGACAATGTTGTAGGAGAACACTCGAGTTGACAAACGACCACGCCAAATACAAGGAAGCTTCGCGGCCTTTGCAGCAGACTGCGACCCGCTTATCGCGCAGACGCGGGCCGTTAATACCATGAATACTTCCCTTCGGTTACATAATTCCTTTTTATAGAAGGGCGCCTTGATACCAATGGGCAACCGCTGTTCGCGATGTATGGACACATCCGCTCATGAGCGCTTCACATCCCATTTGTTCAAGCACATCCAGTGGTTTCGGCAATCCTAGTCGGGACAGGCAAATTAAGTTTCTGCTAATTTGAGGGGAACTTTAACTCCCTTTCAAGTCTGACAACGTAAAGGAAACAGCATGACTTATACACGACAGAGACAATATAATAATGTTATCATGTGTCACTCACATCCAGATTTGATGGACAGTCTCAAACTAGCCGAGCTAGCAACAAGTGACCATCGTAGAAAAATCTTTCGTTCAATCAGAATTACAAAATTGATAACGTATGATATTGGTTAAGATACGTCCATAAACAACATAAGCCCAATTTTAGAATAAAGTTTCTATCCATCTACATATTTCTCTGTCATTCAATATTGCTTTCGTCAGTACATAGCATTGGCAATTCGACGTGAATTCGGGAGTAGCTGCGACATGCGCCATAGGCACCCGTCCGCACCGTAGGTGAGCTGGCGGTGGCCCGTCGGCAGGTGTACCCGACGCGTTCATCCCCGGGTGCGTTCGCCTCTTTCGCATTCCGAACCGCAGCGGGGCCAGGGGGATTCGTTCATCGAGCCGTCGGGCGCGGGATTTCCCCGCGTCAGCTCAGCCGGTCGCCGACAAAGGTCAAAAGGGCGCGGGGCGGGCCCGAAGGGCAAAGGGGGAGCGGGCGGGCGGGCGAGCGCGCGTGAGCGAGGGGGGAGGGGGGCGACCGCCCACGCCGCCCACGCCGCCGCCGCCGCTGCGGCCGCTGCCCGCCAGGCGGAAGTCGCAATTTACTTTCGTTCCGGCGTCAGCTTGCGAGCTCCAGCCGCCCGCGCCCGCGCCCGCGCCGCCAGCGCCGCCTCCAGCCGCACGGCTCGCCTCGCCGGCGCCGTAAAGCACTTCGAGGGGGACAGGTCAAACACGAACAACGTATAAAACACTATTTTGCAGCAGACGCAAATAGGTTTGTTGTCATCCCTTCTTGGCAATACCGATTCAAAATGACTCTTCGTTGCCTAATAAAGTAAATCTCGTTATTTTACTAGTTATTTCGAACCAGTATTGTCATCTAATAATGGAAACGAACACTTATTCTTTTAACTGTCACTCTAGAATTTCTGGAGGGAAACAACAGATAGTTTTTGCGCAACTTCGCCCTCTGAATTTCGTGTGGATGAACAACGGAACAATGACAACTTAACCAAAAGTGAGATTTTCAGTTACACGTGCAGATTTAGGCCTCCTGTGCTGTGTCTGGCGGCGGGTATGTTCTTCTCCGAAAGTGGCTAGATAATGTAAGTTATTTAATTAAGTTAAACGAGACCTGTTGCCTCTCCTGGGCCAACAGCTCACGTGTAAATAATAGTGTATTACTCTGTTTTGTTGCATGTGTCAGAGAGATTTGTACCCGTGTATAAAATTGTATTTTGTATAAAGAATGTTATTTTGAGCATTCACGCGTGGAAACTTCGTAGTACGCGTACGGCACAGTGGACTTTGCTGTAGGCGAACTGCATAGAAGACAGGGTCATGTGAAACAACTGATTACTGCAGACCACATAAAACACTGGGGCGACATGAGTCAACAATGTGTATTTTCATCCTAAAGGGAGTACGAGTGGCATTAAAAAAGTCAATCAAGCCCAAGAGTCAACACAGAGTATATTTTCCCACATGATTGCACAAATAGCCTTATTCTTAATACAACAAAATTGCTTAGTTGCCACAAACATTACTGAACTGGTGTTTTATTTCAATACGCTGTAGATGATAATTTTTCAAATGGTCGACCGTTCAGGGCCGATAGTACGGCATATCTATATTTAAGATCCCTAGAAGTATGTACCGCGCGACTGCCTTTCTGCGCATGCGTGTGGCCTAACAGAACATAAAGCCAAATTGTGCAAAGTCAACGTGATGTGTCACGGAATACCCGTAGTGTGCAAGATGCGACTGAAGAAGTAGAAGCGAGCCCTCCTTATTTTTTCTGTGAAAGATGAACGGCTTAGTATTTCCCAGTAGAATTTCACAATATTCTTTTCCACTAAATTTTTTTTAAATTAAATAAAAAAAAGAAAAGAATGTGAAAAGGTGTGGAGAACATTATTATTTGCGTACGAGTGGTGCAATATCACATGAAGTATCTTTTTACGATTCGAGTGGAACAAATAAAACAATTTAAAGCAAATATGTACAAATTGTGTATTATAATTAAAGTATATAGACTACTACAATCAGGATCAGAAATTTGACAACATGCACACATTGCATGGACACAGCTAGTAGACGCTCTTTGTCTTAAACCAAAGTAGCAAGTAAGGCCACTAAGGACAAGGCTTGTTTGCAGCGATGTTTTAACATGGACATAAGTGAGCAATCAACGGCGAAGATTTGGACCCCAGTAAGAACAACTTTTAGAGTGTGAAAGAGGGGGATTGGAGTACGGGCAAGAGCATCGGCAGATCAATCCACTAAGTTACGCGACAGAAGCACTGCGACTGATTTGCTAAACAGTGTTGGCAGCCATGAGAACATCGGAGCAGGCCTAGCATGAGCCGTGGGCGTTGGCGACCTATAATGAGTACGAAGACAGCTCTGAACCATTTCCAAAGAGACGCGAACTGAACTATTGGGGGGGGGGGGTCTATCCACCATCCATAGTCAAGTAGTAGAATCCGTGAGAATCTATGCAACCACTGCTTCTGGCAGAAGGGAAGTTTCATTCTAAATTTCGTTACGACACACTGTTTTTTCACCTCAACATTTGCGGCAGACACGGACGCTTAAATGTGGAGATACGTCGACTTTACTAACAATCTTAAGTTTTTTCTGAATAGCTTCTTTCTTTTTCTTTTTTCTAGATAACCACTTAATTACCATACAAGCACGTAGATAGTGTGCTGCGCAACACGCAAATCCAGACTTCTTTGCTGAACCGCCAAAACTGGGCTTTTTGTTTTCGGGAGCGATTTGAATGATTCTCGATCTGTCCTAAAATTTGGACACAGAAAGTTTACCCATATAAATAAATACAGTTCGGGTGCGGCTCGTTCTGATGGCACCCGGAGAGCCCCTACTTTTCAGAGTATCAAACGCTACACTCTTTCAGAAATAATGTATTACAATATAGTATATACGCACGTGGAGGCTCATTCTTTCAGTTCAATGTAACTGCGAATGTAAAAATGGCAGTCACCGACCTTCTTCGCACTTCGCTCGGTTGTCCGTAAGCAGGTCTTGGGACCTCGGGTGCGTGCAGTGTGTAAACGGGTCTCGCTTTATAATACGCGGAAACTGAGACCATCATTCCATCGTTTGGATATAAGCTTCGCGAATAGTTGCGGTTCATATTATGAGTGCGACGCGTCACACAAGACTGATTTTGTTCAAGAAGCGTTTTTACATTTTCACCTTCGTAAGAAGAAAAGGTATTGTAATAATGAGTCGAAAATCAGCGCTTTTTCGAAAAAAAGAAAAAAAAAATTGCCGGACCCTAGTAACGGAAGAGTGGATAATTCTGGTTCCTATATTTAGTAAATTACTTACTCTAACACGTGTAGTCAGAATCCGTTATGGGAGTCCTTGATGCTGAAGAATCGATTGACGGCAAATACCTTTCTGTCCGTCTGACAATCGGTGGACAACGTTAGCGCCTAAACCGGTCAGAGGATATTCTCTAAAACTGACATTCCTAACAAATCTGAAGGAACTCGAGGTCCTGTGTGTTTCAATTTTTGCGGTTACTTTTCTTGAAGCCTTAACAACTTTTTCAAAATTTTCTCAAAAATGGCTCCTTTTTTATTAAACTTCGTTCTTGGATAGTGTAACGCACGCAAAAGAATGACATGGGTCTCCTTTTTGTTAAAATCCCTATTTTTTTTTTTTAATTGCAAAAGTTGAAAATTTGTTGGGGTCTTCCTTCAAATGCAATATTTAACATAGTGATTCTTTCTTAATAAAATATGTTTACCAGAGATATTATTAAAAAATTTAACGTAGGATTTTTCGATAATATGAGTAGTTAACGTGTAATTCTGCATGAAATATAGGCAATTTTTAAATATATTAAACGCTAAAAACCGCGGTGCTAGTCTTCCAGCGAACTGTGTATTTTTGAAAATTACTAAAAATCAACACTGAAAAAGTATAATATTGAACATAATATTTTTTTAAAAGAAACCAAAGAATAGTTTTTGTGAGATTTCTATTTGAAATGAATGTAATTGATAAAAAGTCCTCTAATACAGCTACAATGTTTTCCACGGATGAAGATTAAAATGGCTCACGTCTCATTCTAGTTGAACTCTTAGAATTTTCGAAAATTAAGTTGTAATTAAAGCGAGAAAGAATGTGCTGTTGTAGCACCACTAGGTTGTAAAAATATGTGTAGAAGTTTGTCAAAACTGCTTCTTGCATATGACATCCAAACTCGCCTCGCCTTTCCTCCACACACATGACCCGTATAAATACGAATACATGTGAAAGAACACTAGCACTGCTATAAATATGGTGAGGGTATCATGCAATAAACAAATTGAACTTGGCGGAATCCAGCAACTCTCTTTCTGAGAACGTTTATCAATCGTTCTACAATTACAATACTTCTAAGGAATTTTTATAATGCTGTTCAATGCTCTTTTTAATAAAATATTACTATAATACTAACTAATCGTGATAATTCAAGCTAGTAAAATAATAATAACCAAGGGTATAACCAGATAAGGCGGTGAAAAGTTCCCCAAACCAAATCGCGATGCTTATATGAAAAAAATACGAAATGTTGTATTTCGTAAAAAACGTCATCCCCCTAGGGCATTCTATTGCAGTGATATGAGAAACGTGTTTTTCATGTTTTATTTTTTCTCAGCTTCTATTGCGTGTATGAGGCTGAAACAAATTGCAGACGCGGGAGAAAATAGTTAAGTTTGAAAGAATATTTGTGAACTACTTTTGACGCTAAATTCAAATAGAAAAAAAAATTAAAATTGATTTTCGACATGATAACGTTGATGTAGTCTCAATCCACAGAATGTGTCTCATAACATTCTATAACATATATTTTTTTTCATATTTTTAAACAATGTGGATGACAGTGAAATCAATTAAAACAATTTTATCAGTTTAACAATTTGAAATAAAAAATGAAAAAAATAATAGTGCAATATGGCGTTTATGTTATCTTATAGAGCGGTTTTAGCACTATCCCTACGAAAAGTTTAAAGAAAAAAATTGGAGCCGTTTTTGAGAACATATTTTTGAAGTTTTTCAAAATTGCACAAATTGCGCGCAATATTGCGCAAAAACAACTAAAATTTCCCCAAAAAAGTACATGGCCTTAATGAAACAACTCGCAAAACACATTTTATTTGCCGTTTTTAAGAAAATTTTGAAAATGTCCGGGGGGAGGTTAATGAAAAAGTATTCCCAAAGTTTGAAGTAAGTTTTCCAAAATTGCAGCGCCTGGAGTCGAGTCAAATCGACCGGGGAATATCCATTTTGGGAAACATCCTACGTATGATTTAGGCGCTAAAAAAAAGAAGAAAAAAAACTTCCGGTAACAGGGGACCCCAAAAGTGTATTTTTATTGAAATCTGGAAATCGACTTTCTGCAGCATTTCATAACTTTCTCTCTACTGCGTATATTACTCCGTATATAGTACGAGTATTGGAAAGTAAAAAATTCAACACTTATGGAAATTCAATTTATTCGAAAAGAATTCCAATGATTGTCTAAATATATCAATAGTTCTGTCTTAGGGCAACAATGGCAGGCTCAGTACCTTCCCTTACAAACCACGCCTAGTAATTGTAAAGTCTCCCTTTCACGACTCCCAAGAGCATCGTTTGTAGCCTGTCGTGGGACAACTTAACCTTTTAACACACTGCCCATCAAATTTATTGTGTATCTACTACATGCCATTAAAGCGAAGCTATAAAGTTTCGAGCAAACTTTCAGTGAGATTGCAGTTCGCCTTTATTTTAGACATTCATCAAATGACATACATGAGATACAAAA